TTTTCTCATTACTTTACTGTGTTCTTATTGCAGCTTGATGACTCTATCTCTGATATTCCTGAAATACTATCTGATGGATCTTCCCCAAGTCCAACGAAGATGGACCGAACGAAAGGTTTATTCACATTTCTGCTTAGATGTCTTAGATATCTCAGTTATCCATTGTAGACGGTAACAGTAATCAGACATAGCAAAATGTATAAAACTTGTAATCTGAAGGGACATAATATAAAATACAAACTTGCCAAATGGAAGATTATCTGTCATCTTCCTCATACATGTATATTCATTATTATTGGGTCATGTTATTAGGATACTAAAAATGAACAAAAAAATGGGGTCACCAGAATGAAGTTTTAATTTAATTTAGTGAATTCCCAGTAGGGTAATAGTTTTCTATTGCTTATTATGGGAATTTCTTTGTGATAATGTATAGCATATGTGCATCACTACAATATGTGCTACTATTTTTTGAAATAACAAATTATATTTTTCTTATTCCAGATGACAGTCAGTTGTCAGCTTCAGAGAAACAAGCCAAAGTGATGCAGAAATTAAAAAAGATGAAAAACCAGTCAAATGAAAAGTAAGTTTTGATGGTTATTATTTCCCCAAAACTACTTAAGCCTAATGGATTTCAAAGTGAATTGTTATAAGAAGTTCACTTTAAGGAATTTATAAATCTATTTTTATTTTCACACCAACCTCATAATTGCAGATTGATTGACACTGACATTTCTTTGTAGGTTTCTTACGAGAAGAGAGCAACAACTGATGAAAAGAAGACTGAAGGCAGAAGAATTGTTGAAGTGGAAAAAGAAACTTGATGAAGAAGAACTTAAAGTGCAGAGCATGGAGAAAGAAGCATTGAGACTGCTGGAGGAAAAAGCCAAAGCAAGCAAAGCATCCAAGGAGAGTAAAGGAACTGACGGTAAACAGAAAGAAGCGGAAGATAAAACAAAGAAAGAAAAAGGTGAAATGAATAAAAGTTAAATGCTGAGATTATAAATTGAGTATAAAATTTCTTTCATGTCACATGATTTACAGTTGATATTTTTTTCCCTGTTACTAAAAAGTGTTTGTATTCATCTCTAGATAAACTGTTATTGATGAAAGATGTTAAAGATGATAGTTCCATTACAGAGGATATCAGCCAAGCTAGTAGTATACCTGAAGATATACCTACAGAGTCTGCCACTGATAAGAACAGGTGAGTGCTAAATATGTACATTTCCAAATACATTAAAATATGACAGTTTCAGCGGTGTATGCTGTACTTACTGCACTAATACAAATAATTATTACAGTGCCAGAGTTATGTGTAACATTTTCTGAATTTGATAGCGGGGTTATAACAATTCCTGTTTAAATTTCAGGATTTTATGGTAATCATGAAGACAAAAATCCTGCTTTTCATTGATTTGTGAAATTTGAGAAACTCTTTGTCCCAAAATAAAAGTGATTTACCTACTTTTACTTTTATTTCGAGTGCTAGCTCATATTAACATCAAGAAAATGTACATAATAAATGTATTAAAAAACATGGCTCAGCCAAGTACCCAAAAGTGTACTACATTTCATTACATCTGGGCTATAAATAGCTGTAATTATTGCATCACAATTAGGTCTTAGAAATGTATCAATGCTATAAAAAAGAATGATGTATTATCATTGTTTGTATTACTGACAATGTGTTCTGTGATGTAAAATTACGGATTGCATTATTTTGTACATGTACTTTTATAATATTTTTAAAATAAATCTCACAAGAGCATTTATTTAATGATATTGACAATGACTGCGGATCAATATAATATTAACCTTTTAGATGCCATAATCCTTCCTGCCAAACTTTTGCACCATCATTTTGCCTATTTTTTAGTATTTTTCCATAATATATTTCGAGTATTTTGGACTGAAGGGACATTATTTTCTATATTCAGGTCTTGATCAAAATTTTGAAAAAAATCTATGAAAATTTTTTTTTTTCAACGGTAAAAAAGTTGACTTGGCTATCAAAGAATTTTGAATACGGTACCTTACCTATCTTTCATATATGACATAGCAAAATATTACTATAATTGTGTCATTCAATTAAAACTAATTATCTATGTCCCCTCTTATTAACAGTTTCCATGTTCCAACTGGTAACGGTTTCTCAAGCGATGATACGATAACTGAAGATTATGCAAATGAGAAATTTGAATCTGCTGATAACACAACGACTGTGACAAGTCGTGGGCTAACACCGCGTTCTAGGACCCCGCGTAGTATTTCTATACGCTCTCCGTTGTCACCAGTCAGAGGTAGAAGAGATGAAGAAAGCGGATCAGAAGAATCTTTTTCTTTGACCCAATCGGGTGAGTCATCATTCTGTAGAGTTTTGGGTTTTTTTGGAGAGAAAATTGATATTGGGCTGCTACGTCAAGTTTTTAGTGTATTTTAAAAATATCAAAATATACTTTATTTATTATTATGTGTTTAACTCGTATGTGTGCAATAAAGTATTATTATTTATCTCTATTATTGTATGTACCAAGCTGAATGAACCAATCAAAGTGTCTGTTATATGATTGGAAGCACCGGCCAATCAGGTCATGGGTTTCATAACCGGTGCTATAATTGCTATGCAGCTACACATCTGACCTTTGTGCTTTTCTTTGATGACAGAGACTACGTCTGATTTGAGTGATGTCGAGGGTCGCATTACTGCTCTGAAAGATGAACTGAAAAGGCGTAAAACAGAAGTTGAACGATTACGAAAACAACAGAAAAAGAGACACAGGGAGAAATTACGTGCTCAAGAAGCAAGTTTGAAAAAACAGTTGGAGGTAAGAATTAACAAGCAATTTTTGTTTGAGGGTAATTTATGCAGTGAATTATTATTCTGAAGAAGACAATTCTCAGACACAAATCCCCTGATGTTCAAGTTGTTCCGCTTCTTTACAATAGGCGTATGAGAAATACATTGAGAAAACCAAAGCAGACTTGGTGAAGGAGAAAAGTACTGATAAAGTAACTGTCAAACCACAAATCAAGCAACCTAAAGCAGCGGAATCTCGTCGAATAAAGGATCAGACATCGCCTAGGCAACAGAAAACCTTGAGTGAACTGGATACCAGTAAATTACAGACGAGTACGCCAGAGAAGAAAGATTTAGACACGAGTAAAACTAGCAGTAGATCCTCTGCTGATGACCAATCTGAGAGTTATGCTTCAACTACAATTCAAACTGAAGGTGAGTTATTAGTCAAGAAACACTGTTTACAGTAACTAATGTAGTTCTGTGTATTTTTCACATATGGCAATTCAGTTTAAATATTTTCTGAATAGCTTGTGAAATTGTGGTTCTTGTATCTGAAAATTGTTAATGTGTAATAATAAATTTGTGAGTTGTCTTTATTAACAAAGAAAAAATGTTTTATTTTTTTACAGACTCAAGAACTGCAGACCCAAGTCCAAGACGTAGAACTGCAACACCAAGAAGTTACAAAGAAGACAGTGTTGATAGCATTAGTATTCGTTTGGGTGAGGAAGGTCCAGAGGTTATTACACCAAGACCGCCACCACCACGGTCACAGTCCCCTGATTCCCGCCCAACATCACGTCTTTCTGATATCACTGATGCATCAGATATTCCTGAAGACATTCCACTATCTGCTAGAAGTGCCAAGTCATTGTCTGAATACACAACACCAAGATTGCCAGATATCCAAGAAAAATCAGATGTGTCTTCCGGGGAAATTAAATCCCAGTCTGATATTCCTGAAGAAATTCCCAGCCAAGTGCAGGATTCTGCAATAACTGAAGATGTGAGTAAATCAGAGACACCATCACCAAGAATCTTGCTAAAGAGTGACAAGGAAGTGTCTGCCAAAGCTAGCCCTGAGATGATCAGGTTGCCTGAAAAAATTGTCACAGACTCTGGGTCACAAGAACAAGAGGACTTGACACGGTCATTTGACAAATCTGAACACTCAGAAAGTGAGAAATCAAAGTCGTATACTTACAGTGAAGATTTCACTTCTCCGTCACCGGCAAGTCCAGGATCGAAATCGGGCACTGACGATGAGATAAGTGAACTCAGTATGCAGTCTTACAAGTCTTCCAGTGAAAAATCAGAAGAGTTGGTTATAGATCTCAAAGCTGGCTTGGAAAGATATGAAGCGGAGATGAAACCTGCTTTTGAAGGCAGAGCAAGTCCTGATGGGAGCGTGACACCGGTAGATGATGATAAAACTCCAGTTGCATCACCTTCAGAGACGCCCACACCTAAAGATGATGAACTTATACATTTAAATGTGGGAGACAGAGTTCTTGTTGGTGGAGTAAAACCTGGCACTCTAAGATTCAAAGGTTATACATCATTTGCTGATGGGATATGGGGAGGTATTGAACTTGACAGTCCTAATGGAACTAATGATGGTTCATATGCAGGAAAAATTTATTTTATCTGTGATCCTGGATATGGTATCTTTGCACCACCAGATAAATTAAGTGCCATGCCAGATGGTTATCGATATGAAGAAACTGAATCAGACATTGAAAGTATTGAGGAGGAGATGAAGTCCAGAAGCCCACAACGTCTGTCTCAAGAAATGGACATATTTGATGAAGAAATCAATAGATATGAGACAAGTGAATCTTCAAAACAAACTGTCAAGTCAGGCACCGTTGATGCTGGGAAGAAAGAAATATCTGATGGAGATTCTACTTTGGGCGAGAGTGAACTTGAGAGAATTATCAGTCAATCAACAGAATTTACTAAGTCATCACAATCGTCTGTTAATGAAACAAGCTTGAGTCAATCACAGAAGGATAAGATGCATGGACGTACAATGGAAGACGTTGTTGACTCCATCACTGATCAGTTAACAGTCGCTGTTGTCAAAGACACTTTGATACATGTTTCGAGTGTGTCAGAAAAGAAGTTATCACCCCAAGAAAAGCAAACACCTTTGTTGGACATGTTACTAGGGGAACAAGAACAGGTGGATTCTAAGGACACAGAAACTAAAGGTGATGATAAGCTTGTTGATATTTTCACTAAGACTCTGCTAACAGAAGCTGTAGCACAGATGCAAAACATTAAACGACAAAGGGATCAAAAGATTGCTACTGCTGGTGAAGAAGATGGCAGAATTACTCCAATAAGTGAGATAGATCCACCGTCTTTAGTTTCAGGTGCTTCTAGTCCAGAAAAAGAACAGTATGACTCTCTTTCTCCTGTTTCTCGTATGGAGACACCCTACACTCCAAGTCCTGTAGATAACAAAAGAGATGATGATGATGAACCTCTCAGTGATGAAGTGTTTGCAGATAGAATCAGAGTAGAGAATAACCAGGATGATACATCCTTCCCAGAACCAGTAGCTAGACCGAGTTCTCCAATACCTGGAGAAACTGGCGACTCTCAGTGGAAGATGTTAGAAGAGGATTTTGCTGATGTTCTTGGGGATGGTGAATGGTTTGATGATGATTTTGGTTCGATGCCTAGAGGTAACTCAATTGTAAATGTACCACAACGTACGCATCCCGATGGTGAAGACTCTGCCGGGGTTTCTCAGAAAATATCATCTGGTGAGAGATCTACAGGCGTCAAGAAGGTAGAACTGCAAAGACTTACAGAAGAACTGTTTTACGCTGTGCCTCACAATAAGAAAGAAGTCTCCGGTCTCACTTCTGAAGCTGCAAAAGTGTTTTTCAATCAGTATAAATCTGGAGAGCAGATCTCAGACATTGCTGTTCCAGACAGTTTTCTCGGCTCTGACACTAAAGGTTCCGACGTTGAAAGCGTCAGTAAAAAGGCATACAAACTCATGGTGTTTGATCTCACCCGAGAAGTATTCAGAGACATTTATTCTGATGATACCCCTGTTTACAGACCAGCCTGGATGAAGCCAAAAAGAGTAACTAAGAAATACTATCATAATCCTCAGCCTCCAGATAGTATCTCTGAGCTCACAGCCGTTGTTGAGGAGCAAGTGAACTACCTCCTTAGTCTGCAAAAGAGACCTCAGTCTGACTTGGTGTCTTTAAAATGGATCAATAAGAAAAAGAAAGACCATGTAGATGAAATCCTGGTTGAAGAACTCCGAGAGGAGGAACCCGAATGGGTGAACTATGACGATGACGAGCTAGCGGTGAAAATGCAACTTTCAGACTCAATTTTTGAATCACTCCTCACTGAAACTGTTATGGTCCTTAGTACTGTGCACAGGCGGAAAGAACGTAATGATGGAGATGTTCAAATCACAGCAATATAACAAAACCAACTCTTCCAACTTGATTGACACATATCCATGACTATAAAACTTTAATGCAGATGGTAAAAAATATGTACATGACTAACCTACCTACCTTCAAATGTAAAAAAAACAAGTAGTTTTTTCTAACCAGCCAGGTTGACTCACAACACATGTAAATAATTAAGTAGTAATTTTAATGTATATTTTTAAAATGTAGATTTTGCTATTATGTTCTTGTGAAGTTTGATTTGCAGATAACAATAAAACCAAAAGGTAAAAAAAAAATAATCCAGTGAATTTTGCAACAGAATTGATGTGTACACTAAATCACACTTCGCCTTGCTTTTGATTTTTTTTATATGAAAGGTACCAAAAATTTTTACCAAAATGTTTTGTTTTCTATGTAATTTATGATAAATAAATTGACTCTTTGTTATTAACTGGCATTGTAAATAGAACATTGAGTATAATAATAATATATATACACCTTTTATTATAATTCGGGAAAAGCTTCCATGCTGATAAGTTGTAGCAGCAATCTATGGTGGTATTTAAATTACTGACATTTCTTGGCAAGGAGGAACATTTGGTTTAATATGCCCCACTGCAGATCTGAACATAGTTCAATTTCCAAATTTCTGTATATCATATGTACTATTTTCTACGAGTCTAAACTTAACAGTTAAAACTGTTTAAAGTTGGTACCCTGTTGTTGCGAGTGCTCAAACTATGCATGTACTGTACAAAGCTTTTGATATAGTTAATGTAAATTGATATCAAATAGTGCTTTTTTAACTTCTTCTCTTAGAACTATTTTTTCACAAATGACTTGGTGCTGATTGTAATATTCATGTCTGTGTTATGATTGTGTATAATTGTCTTGTGATGTTAACTGTACATTAAAATAATCATTAACAATAAATCAGCACAGGAAATTACTCAAATTTGTCTTTTTTTGAGATTAAATAGCAACAATCTAATAATTGAAAAAAGTTTCTGGCAATGCTTTCATTTGTAATTAACTTAATTAAGGAAAACAATTATTTTTAGGTCAATGATGACCAAATATCTGCTATAAATCATGATTTAAACATACTCAGAGGTGAGGGGGGGGTGTTCTGCTCACCGTGCAGAGTAGTGCTATAAGTACCGGGTACTTATTTTTTTCGGGGGGGGGCACTGATATTTGTACCAGATTTGTTTATTACAAATTATCGCAAAATGGAACTTTTAAGTATAATGTAGTGTCATTAATGACATGATTGTCATTTCATTGTGGGCTTAGCTTAGACTAATGCCAAATATTTAATCACTGCTAAGTTACATGATTGTGACTGATTGGCTCCCCAGCCCTAACTGTCGGATCAATCAGAGTAGCTTGTTTGTCCACAACTGCGCTGGTACAGTGTATACATGTTTCGTCTCTACTGCAGATATCCAGAGTGTTGTAATCCAAATACCTTTATGGCATATTCCCAGCCCTATGGTAAAGTTCTAAGTCTATTGTACAGAGTGTCCTTGCATATCCAGTGTAAAAAACTGTCATTAAAGGGGAACCACTCAATCCCATGGATTGCACCAAAGAATCATGGGACACTATTGTTTATGTTGTTTACAATGTTAATCTATCTTTTGTTATCCATTGTTATTTTAATCCAGAAAGTAAATTTGTTGTAAAATTAATCTTAACTGGAAGGTGCCCCTTTAACATTGCATAAGGTTGGGGGGGGGGGGGCTGTGGTAAATCTTTTAGTTTGTGTACATAAACAATGTGGACTGAAAAGGGTTGCTGCTTTTGCTCTTTTTGGAGTCTTCATATTTCACATTTACCTGAATTTCGAGTACCGGGAATTAGGACACTGCTTTCAATAGTGTTTTACAGCAAATAAAACTTCACCTTTATGATAATGGCCAGTGTTACTCTGTTCAGTGATCAAATTATTAGGGAATCAAAGTAAATGGTTTGGAGTTATGTTGACGCCCTCTATGGCAAGTCATCATATAACCAAGTTATGCATGTGCGTATAAAAACAAACTGAGATGTGTTTGTTTTATCCAACTAATTAACAACAGTCTCTCAACAAAGGACTACAGATTAACCAATCAAGCTTTGGAATGAGATTAAAGATGATGGCGGCCCTTGCTAGAACAAAGAGCAGAGTGAAAATAGGTCTTAACCCCACCAGATTGTCTTGCCCAAATTTGTCTGCACTTTTTTCTTATATTCAATATTTCTGGAATTGAACCCTAATTTGTAGCCAATGGACACAATTTGAGTCTAGTCTTTACTCAAAAAAGTGGGTTATTTTTGTCCCATTCTTCATAAGGAAAGTGAATTTGTGATGAAACGAGGAAACTGGTGGTGAAAAGGTTGAAACAATTCGCAATTTTAGCGAGTGGGGAAATAATCACGATTATGTCTTTTATTTAAAGCCTTGATTTCAATAATTAATTCAAACTAACCAAATGCACCCTGGGAGTCTAGCATAGTTCCCACCTCTAGAGGTCGCTAGCAACATCTTGGGTGGTAGTAGTAACCTCTGGCGACAGAAACCAGGCTACCAGGTGTTAACCTTTCATGGTAAATACACAGCTTTATAATATACATCAAACAGAGTGAGTAAGGGTCGTCACAATGTAGGTCCTGCCGTCACAAGTCGATGTAAAGTTAAATTGAAGTCATCACAACGTTGTTACCACACATGCACATGCACACACAAACTGCAAAGACTCCCATTGCATTCTTCACACACAGAGTAAAAAATGAAACATTTTTTGCTGAAATGAGTATTTATTTCCTACACCTTGCAGCAACAGATATTATTTAAAAACAAGATAAGTAAGCAGGTGTACCAGCGATGACTTGGTAACTAGCAGCAACCATGTGATAGTGTTGAAAAGAGACACCTGTCGTATTACGTGATAAAAATTCCACAACATGCAGAATCATGCTACCAAAAAAAAAAAACCTGGATGTCACATACATCAAACATTACAATATTTTAATATTACAATTCACCACATCTAACAACACCAAAGACACCTGTATTGAATAATTTACAAGTTGAATCATTCTAAAATAATCTTTTCCAAAATATTTAACAATATATACATCAAGTAAATACAAATAATAAATATAAATACAAGAATATATTGATAGATAGAATGTACAATTGTACAATACATTTATGAGTACAAGCTAAAATAAAATAAAATTAAATTACATTATTATACATCTGTCACTGTAACGCCATAACTTACAGCATGCCGTAATTTTGCGGTATTTTACGGGGTATTTTCATCCTACCATATTAGGAAATACGAATTCCAAATATGGAATGATCACGCACGTTAGCGTCCTCTAATAAAAAAAACAACATGGCTGCCACCAGGGTTTGACAGGACTCCATACAAAGAAGTTCTAAACTTTTTAGATTTCGGC